CTGTTTTTCCATCATGCTTTCTCCAGAGAAGGGGAAGTTCTGGCCAGAACTAGGCCACAGTGCTTTTTAGATGCATAGTTTACTCTACTGTACTTGTACATTATGGAGCAGATTTTCGAAACTGCTAAGAGCTCAGCAGCTCCCATTGACAGCCATTAGGACCTGAGTTCTTTTTAAAACCCAGCCTCTTATTTAGGATCTTAAATGGGAGCTATTGGGTGCTGCGATTTTTTGAACATCTGGTTCTATGTATAATGTTCCTGTACAGCAATCGAGCCAGAATTCTGCAGTGACCTTTTGTAGGACAAATGCAGTGTCACTGTCTGTAATATGCCATTGCTCTTCCTTTTTAAACACCTCACAGCCTTTGGGACTGTTTCACACATTTCATTGTTACCTATGTGTTATCTACCTAAACAGACAGCATTCTTTTTACAGGGAGCTGGTCCATGAATAGGATTCTTTATTCAATATGCAGCCAGCAGAGTGAGTGGAGCATAGGGAGGAGGTGTTCACAGTGACCTATGCGTCACTACTGCGAGACCTGGGTATTGATAAATGTTACTGAGAATGTACAGAAGGACTCACTCCTTATCTGATTATAGTCAATGGAAGCACTATAGACTTCCATAGGAAAGGAATTGGCTTCATTGTTTGTTTGTTTTTAATGCTACTTGTCATTGTAGCAATTTTCATCTTCAGAGCACTGTATAGTCATCAACTAATTAGTCCATACAACACACCCTGAGGTTGGTATGTAATAATATATTGTGTCATCATCCCCATTTTATTCTTGGGGAAACTGAGGCAGAAAAGTTAAGTGCCTTGCCTAAGGACTCACATCAAAGCCAGGATTAGAATATAGGCAGACTTTGGCATCCTGGCCCATAATCTATTAATCATGTTGCCTCACCTCTTGCTATGAAGTGTTTTTGAACACCTGTAGGGCAGATTGCTAGGAAGAGAGAAGTGCTTTGATGAACCTGCTTCCTCTGTAACATACACCTCAACTGAAGGCACCTGCCCACTAATTGTGAAATCTGTGTACCAGCCTTGAACAGACTAAAAGGACTCCCAAAGATTTTGCATGCCCAGAGAGCCATGGCTGCAAAATATGTGCATTGGCACCCGCAGATAGCCAGAAGTTCTGCCTCGTCCTGTAGGACACAAATCTAGCCATGTTTACCCATGCATTTATGACCTCCAGACTGCATTTCATATCTGGGAAGGAAGCCAAATAAAACTTAAAAAGCTTCAGCTGATACAAAATGCAGCAGCCCATCTGCTCAGCCACAAAAGTCACTGTAAACACATCACCCCTGTGCTCACTGTCACTACACTGGCTGCCCATTGAATAAAGAGTCCAATTCAAGGACCAGCTCTCTGTAAAAATAAATGGATCTGTTTAGGTAAATAACTAGTTTGTTAGAACCAGGTAGGTAGAGCCCTGCGCGGATACAAAATGTGAGTCCGCATCCAATCCGCGAGCTGCAAAAATGGTCCGCGGATATAAAGTAGATATCCACGGATTTGTAGGGCTCCTCAGGTAGGTGACAATGAAATGTGTAAAATAGAGTTCCAAGCCTGTGAGGTGATTAAAAAAGGAAGTGCAATGGTAGATTACAGCCAGTGACACTGCATTCTCAATGTGAAGAAGCATTTGTGTTACTTCGCAGGGACATGGTGGAATGAAATCAACACACCTCCAGAAACATTGATATGCAGTAGAACTCAAGTAGGATCATCTTTAAATATTATTGCCAGGAGAAGGAAGGAAACAGTGACAATAAAAGGCCTTATAAAAGTATACTATATTAATTGCAAAGGCTATGTTAACGCAACCTTTCGGTCAAGATTTAAATACTCATGCCAGGAACATGAGCATTCTGGTACCCACAGCAGCCTGTAGTATCTAAAGCCAGATTAATTCCTGGAATACAGGAAATCAGCAACATTACACCACAGACATGAATTCGCTCACAAAGTATCTGAGGTTACTAGGTATGATATTAAAGGTAACATTCATGTGTGCAAATGTGTCTGATTTACTGTTGCTATAACTTTGAATTTCCTGACTCATATTTAAAATCTCAATCAAAAGTTATATTCCCATGGACTTTTTAAATTTCCTTGTTTTATTTTTAGATGGGGGGGCAGATAAATAGAGGAAAGACAATGGGGAAAAACAAAAGGACCAATATGTACATTTCCATTTGAAACTACAGTTATTAGGTTAATTTAACCTAGTCATCCTGTTTTTCATTTATTGATATTATTACTCAGTTGTATTATCATAGTGCCCAAGAACCGAATTCAGAAACCAAAACCCCATTGTGCTAGGTGCCCTAAGATGGTCCCTACCCCACAGAGAGCTTACAGAGACAACGTCTGTATGCAGACAGACCAACAGGGGAGTACAAGGAAACAATGAGACAAGTATTAGTCAGCATTATACACCATGGTTTCAGCACACCAACAGCCTAGCTGTTGTCAAGCTTTTTGTAGGCTTGACGGTAAAGGAGAGTTTTAAGGAGGGTTTTGAAGGTGGATAATGAGATAGCTTTGTGGATGTTTATGGGAGCTCCTCCCAAGCATGAGAGACAGTGTATGACTGTGGGGGGAGGAGGGGGAGACAAACTACGGCCCGCGGGCCATGTCCAGCCCGTCAGACCTTTTAAACCAGCCTTCGAGTTCCCACCAGGGAGCGGGGTCGGGGGCTTGCCCCACTCCGCGTGTGCCGTGGCTCCGCGCGGCTTCTGGAAGCAGCGCCATGTCCCCCCGTTGGCTCCTACACGTAGGGGCAGCCAGGGGGCTCTCCAGTTCTCATTGGCCGGGAACCGCGGCCAATGGGAACTGCAGGGGCGGCTCCTGCAGACAGGGCAGCGCGCAGAGCCGCCTGGCCATGTAGCTGCATAGGAGCCAGAAGGGGGACATGCCGCTGCTTCCAGGAGCTGCTTGAGGTAAGCGCCGCCCAAAGCCTGCACCCCTGACCTCCTCCTATGCCTTGACCCCCTGCCCCAGCCCTGATCCCCCTCCTGCCCTCCGAATCCCTTGGTCCCAGCCTCCTACACCTCAAACCCCTCAGCCCCAGCCCAGAGCCCGCACCCTCAGCTGGAGCCCTCACCCCACCCCACGAGTCCCAGCCCAGACTCCTCAGCCCCAGTCCGAACCCCCTCCGCATTACAGACCCCACCTCCTGCACAGCCTCAGCGCATTCCAGACCCCTCAGCCCCAGCCCAGAGCCCCCTCCCCCACACCCAACCCCCCTGCCCCAGCCCAGAGCCCCCTCCTGCACCCTGAACTCCTCATTTCTGGCCCCACCCCAGAACCCGCACCCCCTCCTGCACCTCAACCCCCAATTTTGTGAGCATTCATGGCCCGCCATACCATTTCCATACCCAGATGTGGCCCTCAGGACAAAAAGTTTGCCCACCCTGGCTAGGAGAAAGCACAGATATGCTTGTTTGAAAATGTAGCTATATGTATTTATGAACTGTTTGTTATCGTCTATGCCTGTATTGGATTCTCCTGATCTGCAGTTGAATGAGGATTAGATGGTACATTCTAGCCCATGTCAAGTTTTGTGCTTGTTTGTGGATGTTCAAAAACACAGAGGACCCATTGCTAGCAGTAGCTGAGCACCTCCTGTAAGGTGCTGGACTCCCCTACCGCCACTGTCTTGTGGCCAGTCTGTACTGCTGCAGGGAGTTAGACTAGAAGCTGAAAGGGAGAATTAAGTCATAACACTTGACTTGGAGGTACCAACTAGAAGAATGAAGGCTGTAGGGGGGAACTAGGGCATAAAGAAGGAACAGAATAATTGTTAATGCTAAAAAGATGAGGTTAATGTTACTATTAACAATTATTTTCCTTCCAAGATTAAAATTTAATTTGTTTTCCTCTTCTTATAGGCAGAAATGGTACGTGCTGCTTTCCAAGCACAGAGAGCCTTCCTGTTGTTAGTGTCTCAATATCAAGAACCTCAAGAGGTAAGAAAATCAGTATAACATTTTGGGAGGCAACCTGCTAGAATGTCTGTGTATGTATAAATGGCAGCACTCAAGATCTGGTGCATTCACTGCTCTGTATTTAGAGTGAATATGTGAAGGTGTGGTATAAATGCTGTACTGACATGAGTTTGGGATGGGAGCAGTATCAGTGGCAAAGCTAGAAGTGGGTCATGCGGCTACTCTTAAATGAGTGCTGATATAACCACACTATTATTTATGCTGTTTGTCACACATATGACAGAACATTTAAAAAATATTTTAGAGAGTTTTAGAACTTTTTTCCTAGGACTAGTTTTTGCAGCCCTCCACCTGTAAAGCAAGGTACCTTAGTAGCTAGAAATTCCATTGCACAGGGATCAGAGTAAGCCATAAAATCCCCCAAATGCCCTAAAACAGTTTTTCCGTGCCTAAAAGTGTCACAATACTAACGGGACCTTTGGACCTTCTGGGAGTGGAAGTGAGTGCTGTGTATCTCATTGGGAAGCTGGAAATCTCCTGTTTCCCATGGAATAAAACTCCCATTTCTAGCCCTGCAGGGACACTAGGTAACAGACTTGAAAGTCACAACATTTTTTATGTATAGAAACATTATTATTGGCCCAGGGCTGACTCATGCCCTGCCGAAGGCCCAGATTACACTAATTTTGGGAGGAAAATACTACAAGGAGGTAGTATTATGAGGAGAAGGAGGAAACATTTCTCTGTCAGGATGATTATTTTTTTAAAGGGGAGTTATTTGAATCCTTCTTCACAATTTGAAGCTAGGACTTGGAACAGCCATGTACTTGCTGTGGAGCCTCTATTGCAGATTCTGTAATACACTAGGCTTTGATCTGTCTGTATCAAATATCCCAGTCTCTCCACGGGCCCACCCTCAAATCCTCCTTCATGGAGCATGCAGGGAATGAAGAGTCTGTCTGTGGCCTGCAATCTCAACCCCCTTGTTTTGGCTCCTTGCTCGATAAATTGTATAATCCAGTAATCCCTCAGCAGGGCTTCTAGTCACTAGTCTGAATTAGCAAGGTTCTGCTGTCACTGACATTCCTACAGATACAAATAAAAAGATATTTGAATCAGTACTTTTAATGGTGTGGGCACTCCCAGGAGGAAAACAGGGCCGAAGCTTGACACATGCAAACTCCAGGCCAGACCTTTGATTTACACAGCCCAGAGCAAGAAGGGATCAGGCTGTGTGAATTGTATCCCCATCTGGCCCTGCGCTCAGAGGGTAGAAGTGGGTCATGATTCCCATTAGGGCATGGCCTCAAGCAATCATTTGTCCTGCTTGCAGGGCCAGCCCTGCACGAAGCTATAGAAACTCACAGGTAGATCAACCCTTAACAATAGACAGATTCCAATTCATTGTTGTTATATAGGCATCTCTGATAGGAGTAAAAAGTTGATTATTTGGGATTGCTATTGTTTGCCTTTTTAGATGTTGGGGTATCAGAATTATTTTCTCTGTGCTTTGCTAGTGACAACTGTGGTGGCCTTTCCCTACATTGAGCCATAACAACTTTCAGGCAGTGCTCCATAGTGCTCTACCATCCTGAAGAGCCCTAGAGATTAAACCTGCCCATGGCCTGCATTAACTCTATTTCAGTTTTAAAAGCTTTTTACTGAAGTCAGAGCCATACAGTTTATACAAATCAACCTGACACACACTGACAAGATACATTCAGCTTGTGCATAAACTTTGGACTTCTATTTTTTCTTACCTTGTGCTCTTGTGAGTAAGGGGACAGGTATGCAATGGATTTGAGACTAATTTCCGTGCAGCATAAAGGACATAGAAACTATAGTGGAGATGCTATATAACAGGGTTTCTCAAACAGGGGTTGCCGCTTGTGTAGGGAAAGCCCCTGGCGGGCCGGGCCGGTTTGTTTACCTGCCCAGTCCGCAGGTCC